AATTCACAAGTCAATATTTATGTAGTAGGCAAAATTAGAATTCAGGCAAGATTAGAATTTTTATATTGATTAGATCCTCATCAGTCAGAGCTAAAATTCCAGTTTGGCTTAAACAAAATTGGAATTCGCCAAAAGATTAATTCAGAGAATCAAAACAATTAAAATCTGAATGGAATAACTATTTTGTTTTATTCAATAATATCTTTTCATTCCACGAAACAATTTAATCTATTCACCTATATTTGTACAATCATCTCGTTTTGAATGACATTTTCTCGAACAAAAAAGCTTCCTTCTTTTTTTTTTACACGAATATTGTTTCGTAGCGCACTTGCCTTTACAATTGGAAGTGCGAACGTTTGCTGAATTCGATTCAGACATTTTTTTAATTGGGTTCGAATGCATACATTTAACAGATGACCCATAATGAATGGCTATGTTTTGTATTTTATTTTTACACATCAAATACATTTTATTAAAAAACAATATTTTACAAGATGCAGCATGAAATGCTCTACAATTAACAATACAAAGCTCATTATATATATCTGTAATTTTCAAAAGAGATAAAATTCTGTGTGACTAATATTCGATGCGGCAAACGAGATTGTTTGCTAGTACACGTCGACTTCTTTTTCTTATTTCTTTGATTAAAGAATCATATCAGACACCTGAATCATTGACCGATTTTAGACCAATTAATATGTCTTTGAATTAAATTTTTCCTTATGTTGAAGTTGTTCTTTCATATTCACAAGCTGAAGGTCAACACCTACTAGTTGATGATTTCATCTATCAACAAGGCAATGCCGCACCACATACCCGTCAAAAATGATTAGTATGGTGCGAAGAGAATTCCGTAAGCAATTACAGATAATCACCAAACAGTTTCAATCTCAGTCTCCTGGATTATTATGTGTAAGACGCTCTCACCAATGATATATAATGGAACAAAGTTAAGAACTCTGATTTATTAATTGATCAAATAAGAAAAGGTCTCCGTCATGTACCAGAAAAACAAGCTTGTTCGCAGCATCGAAAATTTGTCACACAGAATGAAGGTGTGGGTGTAGTTGTGAGTGGATGTGGCTGTGAGTGTGGGTGTGTGGGTATTGTCTTCACTGATACCCATCCCAACTTGTACCCATATCCACACCTAACCACACTCATACCTACCCACACTCAACAAAATAATTATAAGCAGGACCCGTTCCAAGTACAGAAATGTGTGGCAACTTCACTCCTGATCACGCGTTGTGTTTTAATACTTGTCTGCACACTATCAACGGGTGCGGGTGTGGGTGTGAGATGCAGGTGAAGAAAACATATAACCTACATCCACACCCACACACCGACACCCACACCTTCACTCACGGAAAAATTTTTTAATAAGTACCGCGATTATTCTCGGTTTAAAAGTTGCAGCCCTTGCCGATTAGTATACACCGTGGGAGTGAAACCTTTTATTAGATTTATACACACGCCATTAGTACAGAAAATTAACCTTTTGGTGATTGTTTTTGATTTTTTGGAGAATTTTGTACTTCGAAATATTGGAAAAGAATTATCTTCTGCTAGACATAAAGTCATCTGATGAGATCGGAACGTATCGTAGTTGCTGTTGAAATTTTACGCAAAAATTGAATTTTTGTTGTATATTGATGTATACCCATCTACGAGATTCGACTGAATCTCTCAGCACTGGAGTCTGACAAAAATAGACGTCATTTGATTACTCATTGTTGATGATTAAGTAATTGATCAACACCTATTATTCATAAATTCAATAATATTTGTTGTTTGTGTTCTTGCCACTATCAATGATTAAGAAAAGCTGTTTTGAGCAAAACTTAATTAAGTCGTGTTGAAATGAAATAACCCATCTTTACTCTCATCTTATTCGAAGTATGCTGAACAACAAAAAAAAATATTCTTTGATGACTGGCTTTCGTTTTATTCCACGCGATATATCAAATTTGATCAATGAAAAGGTGAATTTGCAGTGATTAATTCAACTCTCGCATTTTAGTATTGACGTCATTTCAGTTCTTTTTCATGCACACAGAAATAATTGCATAATCGTGAGAAATCTATCATACAGAACAAACATCAACACAGTCAAATGAAAAGAAAAATTATAAACATATACACACCATATAACGAACGCACATTATAACAAGTTTCATCGATGGCTGACAAAACTATTCCATCTCTTCTTACACTGCCAGTGGAACTTATCCATCGAATTTTGGATAACCTTAGTAATTACTCTATTTTATGTTCAATGCGAAATGTCTGTGCACATATCAATGCAAGCATAGACAATTACGATCGATATCGGGTAAATTTATTCTGATTTTCATCATTCTCAAAATATAAACATCGACGAATTAAGCAAAGTAAGAGAAGAATTATAAGAACTACTCAAATTTGACATTTATAAACGTTAAAATTATTATCACAACTATAGTAATGTTTCAAATCATTGCATAAGCTCGTATACTTCATCAGCGCAACATTATCCCAAGCGAGTAAATAGATCATCATCCTTGATGTTCGGGAAATCTTGTATTTCTGTCATTCACTCACAAAAATATCCTGCCTATGACGCACTTTCTAACCTGTTTTCTAATTTAATCATCTTCATATTACTCAAGAAATGTTTTGCGACATCTTGTATTTATTAAAATAATTAATATATCAGACGACATCTTCGAATATTTCTTATTTTTCAAAAACATACGTAAAAACAAGTGTTTTTAAACGACAATAGTTTATAGTACTTAGACCTTTAACTAGAAAATTCATAAGCGAAGTTTTTAATTGACCTAACTTATTATTCTCTATAGACACTCACCATACTGAATCTTCGATATGATAAAATCAGTCCAGAAAAAGTACAACATCTTGCTAATGCTTTACAACAATGCCAAGTAATATCTTTATTCTTTTTCTATTATTTTCTATACTTCACACAGACAATCACTACATTGTACTTCCATAACAACCAAATTGGTCCACAAGGAGCACAATATCTTGCTGATGCTCTACGACAAAATCAGGTAACATCTTTCTGCTCTAGAGTTCGTCGAATTAAACCATTTTTTTTTACCACAAACTTCATTTATCTTCTTCTAATTCTATCATTTATATATTATTTTACATAGACGATTACTATAGTAAACCTTCATGCCAATCGAATCGGTTCACAAGGAGTACAATATCTTGGCAATGCTCTGCAGCAAAATAAAGTGTCGTTGTTCTCCATTCTTTTTGTTTTATACTATCATTGATTATTTTACATAGACACTTACTACACTTGATCTCTGGGACAATCAAATTGGTGATCAAGGAGTACAATATCTTGTCAATGGTTTACACGAAAACAAAGTATATACACTTATTCCATCTTCACATTCTATCATTCACTATTTTATATAGACACTCACTACACTTGATATTGGTAACAATGCAATCTCTGATCAAGGAGCACGATACCTTTTCAATGTTCTACTAAAAAATAGAGTAACGTTCCTATTCTTTTATTCTACTACTCACTGGCTATTTCATGTAGACACTGATCAAATTATATGTCAGTCATAATAAGATCACTGATAAAGGAGCACAATATCTTTTTATTGCTTTAGAACACAATAAAGTAAAATATCTCTTTTTGTTTTTTTCTTATTTTGTGTCATTGCCTAACGTTTCATATAGACACTCGTCACATTAAACCTTCGATTCAATCAAATCAGTGCTATTGAAAAGAAGGAGTTTTCCGCAATACATAGTGCGAATTCAGGAATGGAACTGATTTTGTAATAATGATAGAGACAAACGATTGTTTATAATAACAGTCTCAATGTTTTGTTGTGAAAGTGATGATCATTAGATATTTCTGAAATATATTTTATTCGTGAATACTATTGAAAAATATTTTGTTTTGTTCAGTGTGATCAATATATTGAAAGAAATGTTTCACTGAATTGGTTTGGCATCAGCCCGTATCCATTCATCCAGCCTCTATGAAAAATAATGGAAATAGTTACGTGAAATAAGTTGCACTATCATCTGCATGATATATTTAGTTGTATAAATAATGATTATGTCAGATTTATTTTCATCGTTAGCTGATACATTGCTTTAAATACTTGTTCTTGTCTTCACTATTACTTGGGAACCTGTTTTTAGCCTAATCTGTTTGCTTTATGATAGAATATAGCGCGAAATGTTATTGAAACATTTTGATAAATTCTATAAAATCCTGGAGATTGCTCTGGTTATGAAATGAAAGATACATTTGTTGTACAACGATTTGAATAAAAGATTATTACGCAGTAAGACTAAATAACGGTCCAATGTTCGTATCGTATAATAAACTCAACTTCTGTTTTTTTCATGGGATGTTTTCTAATCATTGGATCAAAGAAAAATAATAGAAGAAGAATACTTATTCTACGATTATTGAACAGTATAGAACCATGATTTTTTTCGGTTCTGATCTTAATAGTTTGTTGAGGATGTGTGCCATCTAAAAACCGAGATTTGCCTGAAAATGTCACATATGAACACTTTGAAATTTATTTCACCAGATCTATCTTTTCACACTATTCAAATGATTATACTTCCAAACTTTTTGCATAATAATATTGGTGGAAAACATATCAATTTATAGAAGAATCGCTAATTTTTTCCCACATAAACAACATACAAAGTGTAAGATTTTGATACATGTTTGGTATAAGTTTTTAGAATTTTTACACAAAAACCAGTATAAAATTCTTAAAAATAACATTTGGTGGAATTCACGTATATTTTTCAAAGGAAAATAGTGAGTGTAAGTTTTAAGTCGAGATTTTCCGGCTCCCTCTCCATCGCTCTCCCTTACAGACAGGCAGTATGAGAACAAAAACAAAAAGAATTCGAAGTCCCTCGATCAAATAATGTCAAGAATGAAGAGTTGCTGTAAAGATATGAACAGATTAATTTAGCTTTTGAAATTTAATAAAGATTACGTTTTTGGTTAAATCAATTATCAGGAAAAAAAAAATAAAAAAATAAAATGAATAACGAGCGAATAGTAATAAGCAAATAAAAAATAGAGAGTCAGTAGAAATAATTAAAGAGAAAATTTCTTGTCGAAATTCAAATATAAATAAGAGAGATCATTGCTATGACGATCGATTGCTCTAGAAGCAACTATTACCTATTAGATGTTATTCACTTTATATATTTTATATTAGCATAATTAAGTTGTGAGTTCCACATTTTAGCCTCAAACGAGCTACGTTGACAAACTTTTTCTATAATGTTACCAGCTCATTGTAATTAAAAACACCATAAAGCCTAAAACAATTACCATTATCGAACGTTGAAACATAATCCCTTCTATTTATTCTAAAAACAGTTTACTGGCAAACATTTTACCCAAACATCGTCATTTCTAATGAATACGTACAAAGAATAAATGCCTGCACAACTTTGAACTAGAAACTTACGACCACGCTGCATCCTTTACAAAAAAATTATCGACTCCATCTATAATACTAGCATGAATCAGAATCCTTTCTATCCATAAAACCTCAAACCTTTTCTTCTTCGAACACTATGCATACCTACGACATTTCTCATCCACTATTTTGTATTTCTACATACAAAAATCCGCTTCCATCAGAAATCCCATCCTGAGTGACAAAATACTCTGATTATTCAAAGCGAAGAAATGGATAAAGTATTTCTCCTTAACTAATTTCCGTTTCTACTTTAAAAAAGCCATTTCTCTCAGAAAATGTTGTTAGAGGAAAAAGTCTTGCGATCGATTTCTCGCTAAGTCTTTTTGACTTCTGCTTAAGAGTGGAGATATGAATGATGCATTTTTGTTTTAAAATTTTTGATGTCTCCTGAGAAAAATCGATTTCTGCTAGAAAGTACGCTGAAGAGAAATGAATGAACTGATCGGTTTCTCTGTAAGTATTTTAGACTCCCGCATGGGAGATAGGAAATTGTTGAAGAATTTCTGCTAAAATGTTTTCCATTTCTCCTCAGAAAAATCAATTTGTGGGTGAAAATATGCTTACGATAACAAGATCATCGGATCGATTTCTCTACAAGTCTTTTCGACTTGTGCATAAAAGATGGAAAATGGATAAAGATTTTCTCTTTGGTATGATCCATATTTCCTCTCGCATAATTTTACCTATATTACGGCTGAGATTGTTTTTAAAAAGCGTTTACTCTTGACTTTGTGAGGGCAAAGTATTTCTGCTAGAAGCGGAACAATTTTCCGATTTTAGGAGATGTGGTCCAACCCTAGACATATTATTCTATTTACATATAGCAAGAGATATAAAACACAAATAGCAGTAAAAATATACATCAATGTTCAAAGTCACAAAAATAGATACGAGCTTTTTCTCCGCGTCGAAAAAAGCAATATCTTGTCTTAGAGCCAATGTAACCAAAATCATAAATACCATCAATAAAACGACGAACAGGACCACGCTGACGACAAAAAGTATTGAAATCATGAAGATCATCATAAAAATTCTTACGAGCAAAAGCAATCAATGCATCTATAGTACGAGTAAAAACATCCATAACTTTAGCAAAACTATCATGAAGACTACCAGTAGAAAAAACATCATGAAGACCATGAAGTGTACCACGACCATTAATACCATGAACACTATCAGAACAACGACAACGAGGACAGGTTGGCATCTTTTTCAATGATGGTTGCGTATTGATCAATATCGTTGTAGTCGATGAAATTAAATGAAATTTTCAAAAGTCGTTTATAATAACAGAAACAATCACAGATAGATATGTACAGTGACACGAAGGAATATTCCAAGAACACAAAGGAATAATCCATAAAACAAAAAGGAATAATCCATAAAACAAAAAGGAATAATCCATAAAACAAAAAGAAATAATCCATAGAACAAACAGGAGCATACAGCACAAAAGAAAAGGAAGAAATAAAAAAAATAAAAAAAGTGAATGTCATTATATTACACTTCTTTAGTCATGTATGTTATAAAAGTCGAAGCTGATGCTAATTTTTCTTTTTTTCAATAAATAAGACATCTCTGTTAATTTATGTATACTATTTTGTTGGAAAAAATATCCATTAAATAATAATATTTAATGCGGTGCGAAGCACAGCATTTATGTAGTCGTGCGCGAGTTTTTTAATGCGGTGCGAAGCACAGCATTTATGTAGTCGTGCGCGAGT